GCATAGTGGTTTCACAAGAAAATCACATGAAAATACCTTCTAGTGATGTGTAACATTTAACAGATGTAACAGACATAACTAGAGATATTTACTTAGGTCGCAGAGGGTGCACCACAAGCTGGTCATATTTCAGGAATGCAATATTCCCTGTCATCCTCATCTCTCGGAGTGGAAGTGGTAGCTCTTTATGTTTAATGCAGACATTTTCTGAGAAGTCCTCGTTGATAAAGATGTTGGTGCCTTTGAGGAGTTTTGTTCTCTTCAGAATCTCTTGCTTGTCTTTATATCGGAGCAGTTTGACCACAATGGCTCTGGGACGACCTGCCTGATCATATTTCCCAGTTCTATGAGCTCTTTCAACTTCTATAAGCTTAAAGTCCATTTTTAGATGGTTGGATAACACTTTCTTTGTTAGGATTTCTGTGTCTCCCCAAGATTCAGATTTCGATTCCGGCACTCCATCAATCAGTAGGTTGTTTCTTCTTGTTTGATTCTCCAGATAATCATTTTTTGCAGACAGGTTATTGATAAAGGGTTGGTAAGAAGCAAGGCTGGTTGAAATATATAAGATTTTTCCAGAGTTGCGCTTTAGAGAAGACTGCAGTTCAGTTATGTCGGCTTGGGAAAACTGAAGACTTGCTTTTAGGTCATGAATATCTTTTGAAATGTTTAAAACATCTCTAACAAGATTATCCATTTGGACAAACACAGAATCAACAATCACTTGTAGGCATGATTTGTAGCTTTTTTCTTGTTGCTCAAGATCTTTGTACAAAGTTTTTTGCTGCTCAAGCATTTCATGCAACACAGACATGGTGACAAACTTCTCATCCTTTCCAGCCATTGTGACCCACATACCTTACGCGCTTTTTAGTGGCTGACCTGTAGGAAGATGCAGCAGGTCCTAGTGGTGGCTGGTGCTGACCCTGTTACCTGAGATCACCGTAACTATCATTACCAAATGTCATTTTGGCCAGTGACTCGATGCAGTATCCTGAACAGGCTGAGCAAGACTACAATTTCAATAAAAAACTTTAAAATACACAACTACCATCTATCTATAAGGAGTCATCAAAGCCCAATCCCCTTTGTGATGGATCTTCTGCTAGATGTGAGTCACTCTCCACATGCTGATGACTGTGTCTTTTTCCTTTAGTGCTTACAGCTGCAGGAGCTTCCTTAGTAACACATGCAACTGAATAGTTTTACTGATTTTTAATGATTTCACAGTCACCTGCATTGACACAGAGTCATATTAAAGCTTTAGGAACTGATTTGCTGTGGTCAATTAATACTGCCCTGGTCAAAGCATCAGATTCTAAAAACAAATACATTCACAAACTGGAGTAAACACAAGTATGTACGTAAACAAGATCACATTTTCTGTTAATTGCATCCTTACAAATGTCAAAACAACTTTTGTTCTTCCTCTGTGGTCTCAAACTGATCCGCTGTGTCACCTGACTCGTTCCTCAGAGGTTCAAATTAGTGAAAAATAATCCGGCTTTCTGTCTTTGGACACAACAAAGCTGATCATTCTTTAGCCTCTGTACATGATCTACTTCAAATTATGCCTGTCTAATATAACCATGGAAGGATCTGTATGTGTGGGTACACTATAGCACAATTGAAACCATAGAGGAACAGGACTGTGGAGCAATGGGTGTTTGTTTTCTGGATGAGGGGCTGTCCAAGTCATAGGCTTTCGGTTCAATGGGACATTTTTCCAGACTACTGAGGCTTTGGAATTATGAGCCATCAGAACAATGTGCAGTCCACTTGTTCAGCATATTTGGTGAAGTTTAGGTTGTGACCAAAAATCAGTGTCAGGACAACGCCTACTGCCAATGTCAATTTGACGTAGAATAATGATGACAGACGATGTTGAAATTTTGTTTGTTTTAAGTTGTGTTGTTCAGTAACCAAAATCCAACATCTTCTAAACATCTCATGCCAATGTTATCTTGATGTATTTACAACATTTGTTGTATGTACAGTACAGGCCAAAAGTTTGGACACACCTTCTCATTCAATGCGTTTTCTTTATTTTCATGACTATTTACATTGTAGATTCTCACTGAAGGCATCAAAACTATGAATGAACACATGTGGAGTTATGTACTTAACAAAAAAAGGTGAAATAACTGAAAACATGTTTTATATTCTAGTTTCTTCAAAATAGCCACCCTTTGCTCTGATTACTGCTTTGCACACTCTTGGTATTCTCTCCATGAGCTTCAAGAGGTAGTCACCTGAAATGGTTTTCCAACAGTCTTGAAGGAGTTCCCAGAGGTGTTTAGCACTTGTTGGCCCCTTTGCCTTCACTCTGCGGTCCAGCTCACCCCAAACCATCTGGATTGGGTTCAGGTCCGGTGACTGTGGAGGCCAGGTCATCTGCCGCAGCACTCCATCACTCTCCTTCTTGGTCAAATAGCCCTTACACAGCCTGGAGGTGTGTTTGGGGTCATTGTCCTGTTGAAAAATAAATGATCGTCCAACTAAACGCAAACCGGATGGGATGGCATGTCGCTGCGGGATGCTGTGGTAGCCATGCTGGTTCAGTGTGCCTTCAATTTTGAATAAATCCCCAACAGTGTCACCAGCAAAACACCCCCACACCATCACACCTCCTCCTCCATGCTTCACAGTGGGAAGCAGGCATGTGGAATCCATCCGTTCACCTTTTCTGCGTCTCACAAAGACACGGCGGTTGGAACCAAAGATCTCAAATTTGGACTCATCAGACCAAAGCACAGATTTCCACTGGTCTAATGTCCATTCCTTGTGTTTCTTGGCCCAAACAAATCTCTTCTGCTTGTTGCCTCTCCTTAGCAGTGGTTTCCTAGCAGCTATTTGACCATGAAGGCCTGATTGGCGCAGTCTCCTCTTAACAGTTGTTCTAGAGATGGGTCTGCTGCTAGAACTCTGTGTGGCATTCATCTGGTCTCTGATCTGAGCTGCTGTTAACTTGCGATTTCTGAGGCTGGTGACTCGGATGAACTTATCCTCAGAAGCAGAGGTGACTCTTGGTCTTCCTTTCCTGGGTCGGTCCTCATGTGTGCCAGTTTCGTTGTAGCGCTTGATGGTTTTTGCGACTCCACTTGGGGACACATTTAAAGTTTTTGCAATTTTCCGGACAGACTGACCTTCATTTCTTAAAGTAATGATGGCCACTCGTTTTTCTTTAGTTAGCTGATTGGTTCTTGCCATAATATGAATTTTAACAGTTGTCCAATAGGGCTATCGGCTGTGTATTAACCTGACTTCTGCACAACACAACTGATGGTCCCAACCCCATTGATAAAGCAAGAAATTCCACTAATTAACCCTGATAAGGCACACCTGTGAAGTGGAAACCATTTCAGGTGACTACCTCTTGAAGCTCATGGAGAGAATGCCAAGAGTGTGCAAAGCAGTAATCAGAGCAAAGGGTGGCTATTTTGAAGAAACTAGAATATAAAACATGTTTTCAGTTATTTCACCTTTTTTTGTTAAGTACATAACTCCACATGTGTTCATTCATAGTTTTGATGCCTTCAGTGAGAATCTACAATGTAAATAGTCATGAAAATAAAGAAAACGCATTGAATGAGAAGGTGTGTCCAAACTTTTGGCCTGTACTGTATGTATGTATGTATGTAGACCTGGAGAACAAAACCCAACATCTGTAAACTGTCACCATATTAACATCCACACAACATGAAATTCTAACATCACTAAACATTTAAAATATTGTAATTTTAAATACTGTCATTCCAACCAAAATTTAATGTCAGTCTAAGAAAGTAGAAGTCTAATGTCTTGTATTTATTTGACCTCCATAGTTCCTGTTAACTTACATTTCTTAATTACATTGTGAACTGAGAAAACACCAAAATGATAACACTTTGCTATCTTCTTATTGCCTTCTCCTGCTTTGTGGGCACAAGTTATTTTAGTTTTCAGAGTGCTAAGCAGCTGTTTAGAGGAGCCTATGGCTGCTGATTGTTGGGACAAGGTTTCATGAGTCAGAATATTTATAAAGCTTTGAAATCTGCATCACCTGGCTTTTCCTAACAATGACTGTGAATAGTAGTGATGGCCGAATGAAGCCTCATGAATCATTTTCCTTATTTTCTGAGCCCACTAGATGGCACTTTTTGTGTAAAAAGGTTTAAAACACACTGAAGTGCCATTCTTTGAGCCTCTCTCTTTAAACTAAGAGTGCCATCTAGTGGGCTCAGAAAATAAATACAATGCTTCATGAGGCTTCATGAGGCCATCACTAGTGAACAGCCATAGTCCTAACAAGCTGATAAAGGTCTGAGACCCTGGTAAAAGTTGTCTGAGAGCTCAAATGTCTTTTGCATGGCGCTCCTTTCCTTTTTTCCACTCTTTTCCATGCCACTGTAATTTGGCAGAACTTTGTTTACCCTTTCTGTCATGCACTTAGCGCTTCATTCTGCACATCTTTCTACTTCTTAAAATAGCCTAATTCAGCCCAAATGTGTATTTCCTAGATAAACTTCGGTTTTGGCCGACATTGCCCCAAATATTTTTCACCTTGCCTTTCAGGGCTTCTATGGCTGTGCCTCAGAGGTAGTGATGGCCAAATGAAGCCTCATGAAGCATTTTCTTTATTTTCTGAGCCCACTAGATGGCACTCTTAGTTTAAAGAGAGAGGCTCAAAGAATGGCAATTCAGTGTGTTTTAAACCCTTTGTTGAACAAAAAGTGCCATTTAGTGGGCTCAGAAAATAAAGAAAATGATTCATGAGGCTTCATTTAGTTAGTTAGTTTATTTTTATTTTATTCATTTGACAAAAAAAAAAAACACTACTCCGTCATCACTACTCAAAGGCAGAGCGGGTTGTCCACTAATCGGAAGATCAGCAGTTCGATCCCTAGCTCCTCCAGTCTGCATGTCGAAGTACCCTTGAACAAGATACTGAACCCCAAATTGCTCCCAATGGCTGTTTCATTGGTGTGTGAGTGTGTTAAAGACTGAGTAGCAGGTGGCACCTTGTATGAATGTGTGTGTGAAAGGGTGAATCTCACTCATAATTTAAAAAGCGCTTTGAGTGGTCAGATGACTAGAAAGGCGCTATACAAGTGCAGATCCATTAACCATTTATCACAGAAAAGATAATTTCTTTCTCTCTCACTTTCTTTTTTAAAGTTTAGATACCTCAGAAGTTTTGTTGAGTGGTAAATGGTGGAGGCAATCTAGTGAATTGATTTGTATTGGTTCTAGCTGCTGCAGTGTAACCCACTAATGTAAGAGATACTACATCTCTTCAGTCCAGCTGAACTTTTCTAAGCTTGATGTAAAAACAATCAATCAAGATCTGGATTTGGTGTGAGGAAGTTGCAGAGATTATTCTGCACTGATGCTTGCCTTGCTGCATATGAAATAACATTGAGTGGTTAAATACGGAGTCGTTGTCGTGCAGCTGATCCCTGTGTCAGGATGAAGGACTCCGAGACGAAGGCCCTACAGATGGGGCAGTGTTGGAAGTGTGACACACAGCTGTCACACACACAGGCGTGTCTGCAGGGCAGCAACACCCTGTTCACTGCTGCATTCTGACAGACCACACAGTCTCTCCCCCTCCCCTTTGACCAGTCCTCCTCCTCCTCCTCCTGCAGGACTGGACTCTGCTCCACTCTGGTGGCCTCAGCATTGGGCTTACTTGGCTGGGTACTCTGCTCTGAGGCAGGAGGCTCAGATGCCCCCCCACTGTCAGCTGACATGAAGAGAGGCTGCAGGAAACAGAGGACAGGATTTTTTCACAGTGCTTCAAGATCAAGTTAACTGTGTACAGGGACTACTACTAAAATCTCATAATTAAATGTTTTATGACCATCAAATTCAACTGATCACTTAAATAAAACTCCACATGCTGCTGTGGATGTTCAACGCTTGGCTAGAAAATCTATTTTTTTTAAAAAAAAAAAAAAGATTCCTTTTCTCTCAAAACACAATACATGTTCCGTTGTAGATTCAGATTTTACTTACAAAATATAACAATTAAAATTTGATGCGTTATTCATTAAACTATCTAGCACTATGTTAAAATTAAAAGCTCCACCTTGAACAGACATTGATTAGATGAAAGTTAACTGTTCTGATAACTACTCTATTTCAATATTCTTTTAAGACCTCTGGCCGCTGAAATACTCCAGGGTTCAACACTAAGATTTTTTCTCACTCGGGCAAGTTGGTCAGAGATCTACTTGCCCGAAGTTAGTTTTTACTTGCCCTATAAAAATTGTTTAATTTAGGCGGCTATCAAATAACAAAGACTGCAGTTGTTTTTATGTTATGTAATCTTCATTCATACTGTATTTATTAATTAAAACAACATATGTCATGTATTGTAGCTTAATTCCTGCACCAAAATGACAGTGTCAGGGCTTAAAGTGAAAAATTTGTCAATCGTTCTCCGTCTATAATTTTGCGCCCTACTTGAGCCATGCCCACCTCTATGTATTTTTCACCCCTCTCTCCAGTTCTGCTGTATTAACACCGGGTTTAATATATTTTGCTTCCATCTCTCTGCCCTGCTCTACTCTACTTCAACGCTACTTAGCTCTCTCTCTACTCTACCAGTAGACTACCACATCCACCTGTTGCACAAAACGCACACAGCAGTGTTTCCCCTAGGATGGAGTTGTAGCAGCGGAGGTGAAGCACACGCATGAAAAATAATTTTCACATGCCTGAAACTTTTTTGTATGCTTGCAAAGCACAGCCTGCTGGGATGTTTCTATGTATCTACTGGCACCAGAAGGGCTCTTTTGGACTAAGTACATACAGTACATTTGTGCACAGTAATGAGCAGGTGAAATGTCTGTCTAGCTTACATATGAGGTGTCTCAAGATTTAGGAACATACAATTTTATTGAATATAATAAAGTAAAAAGTCACTTGACATGCTGCTGTTTTGTGCTATAACCTATTCAAGTGTTGGAAGTTGTTATCTACGTGACAACGCCTGAACGCAACACAAGCTCAGCATGAGTGCAATGCTGAGCTGCTGTGCAAGCAGCGTGTTTGTCTGTGTGTAACAGCAGTCTGTTGGTTATTTACACACTGTCCATTTCAATAACTTTGTCAGCTGACAAACTGCACTGGGCTCAGGGTCAGGTTTGGTCAGGAAAATGCGGCCCGAGCCACTCTAGCGTGCTCATCTGTGTGTGTGGCGGAACTCCGCCGTTCGCGATACAGAGAGCAGAGGAGAATTGTTAACGCGTGACCATGTAGAGACAGAAATGACATGATGACATAACACCATAAATAGTATATTGTTATGTTATTATATGAAGCGTCCGTCGCGCAAAATAATATCAATGGGGGCTGTGGGCAGGACATTGTTACACAGCTGTGTCTGTGACTTCAGGCAGAGAGACCGCTGCATCAGAGCAGAAGAGCACGTTTTAAAATACATTTATTTTATCTATTAGTTATTAACTTTTACTTTTTTTAGCAACTTGCCCGATCGGGCAAGTGAGTTGTTACTTTACATGTCCAACCGTGAGTTTTACTTGCCCCAGGCAATCGGGCAATCCTTATTGTTGAGCCCTGTACTCGTATAGGCACTTCAGCGTCCTGCACCGGGTCGGGTACCCGTGGGTAGTGATGGTCAAATGAAGCCTTATGAAGCATTTTCTTTATTTTCTGAGCCCACTAGATGGCACTCTTGGTTTAAAGAGAGAGGCTCAAAGAATGACAATTCAGTGTGTTTTAATCCTTTTGTTGAACAAAAAGCACCATCTAGTGGGCTCAGAAGATAAAGAAAATGCTTCATGAGGCTTCATGAGGCCATCACTACCCGTTGGTAGCCGATAGGTAACCCGCAAAAAAGCTGTGTAACAGGCAAAAATGAGTATATATGTATATATATATATATATATATATATATATATATACAATACAGGCCAAAAGTTTG